CCTCACCGCCACTGCCACCGCCACCGCCCTCACCGCCACCGCCACCGCCACTGCCGCCACCTGAGAGGAAAGAGCAGGAAAGAGACGAGGCCGACCCAGCAGCAGCGTGGGCTGCGCACGGCCAAGGACACCCGTCGGAAGAGGGGGCCCCACAAACCCAGGCAAAAGCCTCGCTGGCCCCAAGGGAGCTGCTGAGACGAAGCCGAGGAGGAGAAAACGGGCGGAAGAAAGGGGAGGAATTTCCCTGACGAGGATGCACAAGGTGCCTGCATCAGAGACTCAAATGAAAACCGTTTCACACCCACCGACTGGCCAACATTCAGCCAGGCAGAATTGGCAAGAAGGCCGGAGGGGGCCGGCGCTGGCACAGCGCACTGGGAAGCTGCCTGGGAGTAACGCTGGGCACACCCCCCTAAACCCCACTGCCAGCATGTGCGCACGGCAGGCCTGCCACCCACAGGCAACGCACACAGGGGCAGGGGCAGGGGCAGCGGCAGGGGCAGGACGGAAGGCCGACAGCAGCCCAAACCGGAAACAAGCCAAAGGTCCCGACGGCAGAGGAGCACCTGCTGTCTGACGGGGTCACCCCAGAGGGACAGACATCGGACGGACGCCACTCAGAAACGTAGAGATCGGGCAAAACCGAGAGCAGAGAAAATCTGACCCCTTTCCCATAAGGCCCCACAGAGCACAACTAAGCCCAGCCTGGCGAGGGAGAGACAGCAGGGCCACGCTCGGGACAGGGAGGGGCGTTCCCTGCAGTCGGCCACCTACTCTGACCACCCTGATGGCAGCTCCCCGACACCCGTGCCATCCAGCCCAGACCCCACACCCCCGCACACAGGCCAATGGGCTTCCTACTGCAGCTCTGGGGGGACAGCCCCCCACGCCGCGCCGGCCTCTCCTGCACACCCCCCCCCCCAAAGGCCCCGGTACAACTCTGTGGTCTGTCATGGAGCCCGGGAAGCTGCTGGAGACGCGGCCCAGCCAGGCTGCGCTCTGCACGGAGTCTGGGGACACGTGGCCAGGAGGAGGCGTGCATGGACGAGGGGAGCACAAAAGGCCCAGGGGTGCTGGTGACCATGCAGCGGGGCAGGCAGGAGAAGCCGGGGGTGGGGAGGGTCCAGGATGACCCCTGGCTGTTGGTCTGTCATGGAGCCCGGGAAGCTGCTGGAGACGCGGCCCAGCCAGGCTGCGCTCTGCACGGAGTCTGGGGACACGTGGCCAGGAGGAGGCGTGCATGGACGAGGGGAGCACAAAAGGCCCAGGGGTGCTGGTGACCATGCAGCGGGGCAGGCAGGAGAAGCCGGGGGTGGGGAGGGTCCAGGATGACCCCTGGCTGTGGGGCCCAGAGCTGGGGCAACTTCCAAGACAGGAAAAGGAGAGGAGTCCAGGCCGGGGAGAAACTCCGGAGCTTGGCTTCGAGGCCCACCCTGTCCACTAGTACAGCCGGGCCCTGCGCTCTAGCGGGCAGGGGAGCCCTCTGCACCCCCAACGCCTCACTCCGCAAGACCCACTGAGGGGCCACACCAGCCGCGTCCTGGGCCTGGCTGGCACTCCGGAGCTCCCCCAGTAGGTCCTCCCCCCCAAAACCCTCCTCCCTGCGGCCCCTGCAGCCTCCTCCCAAACTGTCCATTCCAGACCCAGCCCTGGTGCAAGCGCTTGTCTCCCCACCAGCCTGGAGTTTCATCAGCAGGAACCACCATCGGGAGGAAACAGCAGAACTGAAGCTGAGACGGGGAAGCTGGGAGCGGAGCGGAGTGGGGCTGGCCACAGCGCTGGCCCGTGGACAAGCCTGGTCCAGCTGTGACCACTGGGCGAGGGGCTTCCCCCAGGTGGGACGGGAGTGTCTTTTGCGACGGGAACCTAACCGCAGGCTGCAAAGGGCAGGGACATGTCCAGGCAGCCGGCTCCAGATTACCAGGCACAGTGCAAGGGGGGGGGGTGGATCCCCGACCCCAGGACCGTGGCGGATGAAGGATGTGCTGCTGAAGGCACAGGATCGCGGCCCCAGGTCTGGGTGTCCTCTGGACAGTGTGCCCTGGGGGTCACTCCCAGGCCACTCAGACCTCACAGTGCGGCCGGATGTCAAAGGATCCGTGGTACCCGGTGGGGAGGAGACGGACTGGGTCAGCTCCTCCAGCGGCCACCCCATCCCTAGGCGCCCACCAGGTGAGCGCCCCGACAGCCTGGGAGACGGGCCCTGGGGCACCCGTCGC